TTGAAATATCATTCTGATTAGTTCCACTATGAGTTGATATTTCTTCCCAAATTTTAAAATATTTATAAGACATTTTTAAYTAACCGATATAGGTAGATTAGTTGATAATTAGGTAATACTGATATAAAATTTGAAATTTGTTTAATCCATATAAGTGTTTTTAAGTTCGAAATTATACAGTTACCTATTGGTTATTGACTAATATCAAGTTCGACAAGTTCTGTATTTGCAAATACCAACATGAATTCATTGATTTTGTTCATAATATTATTATAAAATTCATTTGTACCTACTACCAGGTACCTAGGTAGTGGGTATATCATAATTATATTATTGTTACCAATTAGGTACCATGTTTCTATTTTATTTGCGATAAGACTAATGTACTGTTATGTATTATATTTGTGCGGTAATTAACTAATAAGTAATAACAGTGTTGTTTAGTTATTATTACATCAATACAACGTATCCATTTACTTTTATTAGTATTCGATACAATATCATATATTATGTTAAATTTAAGCTGTTATTATTTGTTTACTATTATAGTTGTCTCAATGCATGAACAACAAGCGCAGGTTAATAGGCTATTTAAAATCTTTATCGATATTAAACACGAGACTTCGATCATTACTTTTTATCGAGGAGAAAAAATTGCAATAGACGTATGTAATGTACAAGTATACACTGCATAGGTAAGTATATTTAATATTTATACACAAAAGCACAAAACAACTACAAAACGGTTTACTGGGTAGAAAATTCCAAGTCAAACGACGGGCCTTCAAAGTTTAAAAATCACATTTTACATATGTTGTTGCACTTGTTTTGGTACCTAGTACATACCTACAAATATTATAATCTATTTAGGAGTTAGGTTGCCAAAGAATCTACGAAACCCCAAAAACTGACAATGTAAACTATAAACAAATATATATATATATATGGCCCTATATTGTATATTGAATTTGATTTAATTTAGATTACCTATCGGAGCCCAATAAGGCAATAAGCACCCTCGCTAAGCACATTTTGAGAACCACTGCTATATTATGGTTTATTTAGAACATAATATCTCACTTGTAGGTACTTAAACAAAAGCCAATATCTACCAGTAATATTACGTGTGGTATATTCTTTCCTAGTTCACGCATAAATACGTAAATACATAAAATATCACGATATTATAGTATACCTACCTAGATACTTTAATTATATAGACATAATACTATACCTATATACAATATATCAATAAATTATAATTAACAAATAATTATTGGACAAACTTATCACGTGAGTGCATAAAATTTATTATTATTACGTAATAGGTAGCAATTATAGGTACATCCGTATCACCGGATCCGGTATACAATAAACTCATCTTATGAATAACACAATCCATTGTAATAATAATAATAATWATTATTATTATTTCAGACATATAATATTTTCATCCCYGTGTACGGTAGGAATCTATAAACATAATACAAACTACAAACTGAATGTTAACGATACATAACGAGACCCTACCAAATGGAGCCAATTCTGATACCTAGAAATTCGTGATTTACTTGTGTTTTAAAAAAGTGATTTTTATYCAATATAATTTCATTTTTCAAAACTTTATTCGAACTTTGATAGGTAATACCTATTGATCACGTTTTCTTCACTTGCATGTCGAATCACCAACCTCTTGGGAACTCTATAGTTACACATTACATTACAAAGTTAGAATCTTGCGATATGTTGGAAAGAATTATATAATTAATTCATTCATTTGGGGGCTATGCCTCCTGCATGTTTCGTCCACYATCCGCCATTGCGGTGGATAAGATCCCCACGAACCACGCTCACGTACACGACCCAAATGTCAGATACTTTATTCACATTTTTAAATTTAATATATTTTACTTATTAGGTATATTAACAATAAATAATTTAATATATTTAAAGTATTTAAAATATAAAAAGAGATTAAAACTTTTTTAAATATTTGAGTTTTAATAATAATGATATGTTGTTATTTATTTTTGGTTGCGATTACATTGTTTGAAAGATAAAATAATATATAATAAAGCAATTTAATAATTTTTGTTTATATAATAAAATACCTACCTATAAATCTCCTATACCTAAATTTTAGTTCTTAATATAAAATACTTAAAAATGTAAACCTGATATTGCTCAAACTATAAATGGTTATTATATTACCCGTAAAAATGCATTATTAATTATTGTATTAATTTATGATGCACTCACGTAATATTATAATATATTTTTATGTGACCATATCCCATATTAGATATAAAAAAAAACTTTGTAGAAGACTAGAAATACAATCCATGTATACAGTTTGGCCAATCGCGATCTCTATTATTCTGAGTACAGGTATAATTTATTGATTTTTGTATATTATTAATCGCTCACTAACCATTTAACATTTTTAACATTATTGTATTCAACATTTATGTTTGTAATATAATTTTTTGGCTTTTCAAACGTAGATAATAAACAAAAATAAATAGTTAAAATATTGTATTTTTACATCACTAGCGAAAAGTAGATATTGCTGGATGCTGGCCCGTCTTCTAGTACTCAATTGAAGGGCGAAATTAAAGTAGATAGTTAAATACTGTATAAGTGGCGGTATAGAAAATATTAGAATACAATATTGACTAGGTAGGTATTTATAAGTTATAAATGGGGGAGATTAAAAGAATAAATAATATATATTATAATATAAATTATAAGAATAAATAATTGATTAAGTAGTTAAAATAATTTTAAATTAATCAACTTACCTCAAAGTTAAACAGACGTACTGCACTTCTGCTGGTGTCATTGGAAATTTACTATATAGTACACTAACACAATTCAAACTAGTTTAGTTCAAGGTTGCAAAATAAAGCATCAACACTTTTTATAAACTATAAACTTTTGGAAATAATAAAAACAACTATCAAATTTTCCGGAGATCAGAAAACGATTGTTGGAATATTAATACTGCCCATAGAATCTATAATAAAAAATAAAAATACGGAATACTGCTAGTCATCAAAATTTAATTTTTAGGGGTCCTACAAGATATTCACTATTTTTTATATAGTTTTAATAAATTACYATCACCAACAAGTTAAATATTTTAAATAATACATTAAATACAGTAAAGTTAAGTTAGCAATCAAAATGAACAATAAACACAAATAAATACGTACAAAACAAATATAAAATWTACAAAAAACATAATATATGTAATTTGAGAACAGTCACAACTATTTYATATACTTTGCTATATTATTTAAAAAATTGTCTTATAATTTATTTAATTAACTCCTACATTCGATGTGTAATTTGTCTTGAAAAAAAATTTTTTTTYACTTATAGGCGTTTAGGAATAATGAGTTTATTTTATCCTCTTTTTTCATAAAAGTTTGTGAAACCTTGACTATTAAGGATCGTACCAGTATTCCKCATTTATAATAAAGACCTAATCAGTTTTTCATTTACCCAGAAAACATAGTGGCAACCCCAACTATTAGATCTTCGGAGTTAAGTCAACGGTCAATCAAAGCAAGGTCAGAACACTCTAGTGTCACGCATTTCATTTTATAATAGTAGATATTTGGTAGGTAAAAAGTGCACATAAGTCAGTATTTCCTTTGATTATTCAGAATTCAGATATTTGTTTATAAATAATAAACAAATTAATGATAATACTACAGAATAACCAAATATTTTAAGACATGAATAATAGTATTTTAGTACTAAACATATAATGAAATAAAATTAAGTACCTAGGTATCTATACTCTGTCCACGAGATAGAACACCACTTCTACGCATCCCCACGTGACACATTGCTATCGAGACCTGCAGTTTCACTATCTATGGCAGGGCGTCGTGTACAGGGACGTGTCGAAGAACAGATTTTGTCAGGGCGTACCTACTGGTGTAGCGTTTTTTCGCTAAGCAAAGTTTATAGGAGAAACGAGGATATGATGGTTAGGCATTTCGAGGAGGTCAGTTTTCTGATTTTCACATAAAGTATAATTTAAAATTATTGGTCAGTTATAGTTTTAGTGTTTTACAAAAAAACAAAAATAACCATAATATTCAACTATCAGTGTATCATCCTAATCCTATGCTGAGTGCGTCGGGAAAACTTCAGAAATTTCGCGACATAAAAACAAAAATAGTATTTTTGGCGGCCTATAAACAAATCAACGCATTTGGCAACTGTTTGACGTCCGTTTAATCACTGATATTATCGTCTTCATGTTATATTTTTTGGCAAACGTTTACCACCACCGATACGTTATAGTCGTTATACTCGAAAATGTGTTTGTGTAGCGTCAAAAACCTAATGGAGTTCAAGTTCAGCCTTCAGCCGTTTGCCTGCGAGGGTTTTTCCAGCTCTTCCCTACATTGCGCCGTCAACGCACATGATTTGTTTTCAATAAACTATATCAAATATTATAGGGTTTTCAAGTCTTAAGTTCCACACAATGTTCTAAAGTTGCTTTAGTAGTATTTATAGGTGAGGGCCGAGGGGTGCGAATTATCCATACAAAATAGAATGATGGCCGCTTTTCAGCAACGCCTTGCGGGGAGTTATTACGTCACCGACTTAATAATATCATTGTCGTGTTACGCAATAATATATTATCGATTGAAAAGTATTTTTATGTAACGCTCATATTTTTCGACAGACGATTGGAAGAATTTATAATTTGACACGATGTAGGTCTTTCGTATTCCACGTGACTTCTATGACATTTTGAACATGGAATGGGGAAGGGTGGATGTTAAGAAAGTGATCACTAAAGGTAAGGGTAACTGCCACGTGAGTTAAGACGTACACGTACATAATATCTAGTAACATTTACTAGCTGTGTACTACTTAGTGTGCGGAAGGAGTGTGAGTAAGGGCAACCTTACTTTCAATAATCAATGTACATAATCCATTCGAGTATTTCTATGTATATATATTTGTTTATATTTTGAAAACAAATTGCTACACGTTCTCAAAAATACTTAAAATTCAAAAAAAAAAAAAAAATACAATGCACAATAATAGTTGGGGGGAAATGTATACGCGTCGATAATTCATTATAATAAGTTATTATATTGTACAACTGTACAATCAAAACTGTATAATCAAAATAGAATTAGCTAATATTTATTATATAATCATAACTGGTATGTTTTTTGGTATGTTAGTAAACGCATTGCACTTACAAAGTATGATTATAGACAAGAATTTCTACTACATAACTTTTGGAACTAATTGTAAGTTAAAAGTTTGTATTATTATATGACTGAAAGCACTTTAATAATATATTTTGTATATAATGGAAATAAACAAAAAAGTATCAAAGTATAAAATGAGTTTAGTTGTAAATCGATATCAATTTGATTTGAATATTATTTTTTAGAAGACATTGGTTWTGAGAAATGCATTATTTGACAGTAAATTTTATCACAAAAAAAAATTGATTATCATTATAGTAAAKTACTTTAATAATGTATTACTAAACGCCCTATTATTTAGGATGTAAAGCAAAAGTTAAAGAAATTTTTGGGAAAAGCAAATTAAATGTATTTATGCTTAACAATTTGATTAAATCTTACTTTAAACACGCTAATTATTTTGCACTATACTAGATGAAAGGTTATCAGATCTTTATCGCAACATCAATACATATTTGATTGTTAGTGTTCATAGGTTTCTCTAAGTGTTTTTGGTGATTATTATATTTGTGCTATGCATAAAATTGGTTATTAGTTTAAGTTTGGTATGACCGAGATATGGGGGATGTGTTCATTGGATGCAACAAGTAGACTTATGTCCATTCTTCATCTTCAGTTTAGATTTCGGACGGTACTTTTCTAGAAATGCCAGTTGTTTGGAATTTATAGCTCCCCTTCGTTTCCTAAAGAAATGTTTTATCTTAAAGATCAGAACAATAACAGATAATATTTTTCTTTGTTTATTTATGGTACGCACTCTCTGATTAACTGAACAGCATCTTCATACTTCAGCCCAAGTTCTATCAATGCCAGAGCAACTAAGACAGGCGCACGACCCAAACCAGCCACACAATGCACAGCAACACAGCTGCCCTCATCTGTACGGAACTGATTTCGTAATAATTCAAACCATTCTTCTATCAGCTAACAAAATAAAGTAAAATGGAAAATTTACCACTTTTTTAATGCAGAAAATAATATTTAATTTATTAAACTACAAAATTTACCTCATTTGCTGGGGATGTACCATCATCGTATGCCAAGTCGGTCACCACAATACCTTCTGCTTTCAATTCATCTACTTTGTATGTGGGTTCACAAACACGCACAACATGYTTAACGTTATGCCTCTTTAGTTCCTAAAATAACAAAAATAAAAATTTAGTTTAATTCATTATAATATGGCTAAAACTTAAACAAAAAATATTTGTATTACTTACAGCTATATAGTTGTGAATTATCTGATCATTAGGTCTATCAGTGATTAAAAATCTCATTCCCTTATATTCAATCTCGCAGGGTGGTGGTCTTATGTCTTTTTGACGCATTATAGTTTCGTTGCTCATTGAGTCGATTTATAATATAACAGGAAAATTAATTTTTACAAGGATGAATTACTGATAAGATGATATCTATGTCCAAACTGAAAACTGAAGACAAAAAATAGTCAAGTCTTTAGTCCATTAACAGTAGCGTTTTTGTTCTTACGACCAACAAATTATACTAAATTATCGAGGAAAACGATTCAACAATAAGGATAGATTAGGATCAATGCTTGTTCAACGAGCAAGCATAATATTCAAATAAAATGATTTAGTATGCATTCACATCCAATGTGTTGTGTTGTGCCTGGCAATATTCACTGCTGTCTAACGACAAATCCATGAAACCAAAGGCTGCTACAGATTTAACAACCTGTAAACAAAATATGTTGACCTGATAAGAATAATAAATCATAGTTTTTGTGTTGACAAGTGCTTATCTTAAGCTATTGTTAATAATCGCCATGACTCAGAGACTAAATTATGATTATTATTCATAGAACATCTTTTTTTAAATAAATTATTTACAAATTGAATAGATAGGTACCGACAATCATATTATTATTTCACCATGAGGAGATGTTGTTATGTTTAATATGGTTTGTAACAATCAATTAGATATATTGAACATGACAACATCGGACCAAAAACATTTCATTAAGAGGATCACAACTACTAAATGYAATATTTAACTACTATATCCGTTCAAATGTCCACTAAGTGCCTATTTAAAACCACTAACCTTTTTTTATTAATAGCTCTATGCACTTACTCTGAACAATTCATATTACACACAACTACAGCCGGATAAATTAAACAATCATAAGAATCAGTATATTATATTGCATAATAAGCAAGTTGTAAAAAAATAATAATTAAAGCAACTGAAAAATATATTATCTTGTTTACCTATTCATAAGTCATAACTAACATCATTTTAATAGTAAATCACTTTACACATCAAATATAAACATAACAATTTATGATATTTTAATAATTTATGATTGGGTGCTTAAATTATGTATAAAAATTACATAGACAGTTTAAAGTTTTATAAAAACAATCTTATTTACCCATCACATAACATTTATTGGTTAAATACTTTTATTTAAAATTATTCAAATTCAACAGAAATAAAATTATTAAGTACCCAATAAGTAAGATATAGTTAAAAACTTTTAAAAGTACCTTCTATTTTTCAAAAAAACTATTTGACTATTAACTTGTAATTGTTATTTACTAATTTTAATATTTTTATCAATTTTCCGTGAATAATTATTCAGTAGTAAATATATTATTTGTAGGTACCTCTCAAAAAAGTTTTAAAAAATGTATTTATGTCATAGGTACCTATTTCTAAATTGTTAACTGATCAAAAAAATCTTTGTTTTATGAATTACCTAACTTAATTCATAATTCAATGGAATAAAAATAAACCCAAATGTAACCTTAAAAATGTTACTAAGTAGGTACTTTTTGGATTCAATAACACAATTATTAAGATCAAAGGTTAAAAATAACTATCATTTAGTTTTGAAATGAGTTGTTATTTTCATATTGTTATGACATACACAATTTAAAATGCCTATGGCTTCCTCAGTATTATGGCAACAAAATCACTATGATGTAAAGGGCATCATTATAATTCATAAACAGTTTACAAAATGTATAAAAATAAATATAAGAATATTATAATAACTACCAAGTACTGATTTTTAACAAAATACCACTAAACTCAATATTTTTTTATAAATATTGTGTTATACGGTTTTTATTACTAACAACTAAAATAAAAAAAAATAAGCTTTTAGTATAAACATTAYATATTATACAATATATTTTTAATTAGATAATAATTGACACTTAATTTTAAAGACACAAATGCAACTGGTACTGAGTATTTTAATCCTACTAATCTAACTGACCTTAATCACCAATTCAAATCTATTTTTACATCAATTTTAAAYACCATAAAAAATATAAGTGTATTATACGAGTAATGATTGTRACAAACTAAGTAATCCAAGGCTCTATTATAGAATTAGTCTTAAAAGAATATAATTTTTCTATAAGTCAATAAAAATAAATGTGATTTATTAGTTAATGTTAATTTTTAAAAGATACCTAACTGATTTAAGTGTACAATATTGATAATGTAGGTACTACAAGTATGTGATTTAAGAAACATAATATGCGAGATAATATGTATCAAATTAATTAGACTACAGATTTCACTTCAAAAACATCAGACAGCCAAAACCTAATTGTTAGACCTACAATCTACATGATTAAACAACCTACTTTTACTAGTTAGGTACTCTCTATTTTTATTTTAACATTTCTAGGTAAGAAAGTCAATGATTACGGTATCAAATATTTTAGTTTTAATTGAAGTTAGCTGTGTGTTTATAAGCCTACATGACAATTAGGTATCAATGCCTAAAAATGTACTACATAATTATCAGTGTTAAATGTACAAAGAACCAATATCAATATAGAATTTAGAATGAATCAGCTTTCTATTTGAATACTTCCAAAACCACCTTCATGTGAAAATACCTAGTTTTTAAACAAAWAAGTTTTGATAAATTATTAGGCGTCTTAGAAAAACTAACAATATAAAAGTAAACCATATTTTTTTCCCGTAAACAACCAATAATGATAATCCCTCATGAATAGTATGCTTAATTTATAAATTTATATTATTTTAGATAGGTGGTTTACTATAATATAGTATTGTACAAGAACTAATAAATCATGAATGATCAATAAAAACTGGAAATGTCTTTTTGAAACATCTCATAACTAAATTGTTAGATAATTAACAATTTCTCCGGAATGTACACTGGACATAACAGAGTAAATAATGAATAATTGCCTGAAGAATATGCATCTATGGAATTGGAAAAAGGATGCAGCCTCATGTAAGTAACAAGTGATAAAATGATCATAACAAATAGGTACTTATAACAATTGCAGGGAAGGTATATATAATATACTTGCCGACAAAATTATGGAATATGGTATACGATAAAATACAATGTTTGTTGATCAGACGTCGATGTATGTGGAATGGCCCCTAGGAAAGTTCAAATTTGAACGACGAATATTTTTTGTACTTAATATTATATTATTGTTGCGAACATGAATATAATATGATCGTGGAAGATTGCATGCTGGCAGCTCTCGCCACCAAGACTGAGACAGTAAGACGTGGTCGACGGCCGCCACAACAATTACAGGCCACTTCGAACCTTCTAACTCACTCCCCTCCCCAACAACACGAGTCATACCACAACGGTAGTCGTCGTCATCCGACCGCCCCTCAAGATCGTCGACAGCCGTGCGTACCTCTATTTATGGCCAGACGTTATTGCGAGAGCATTAAGCGGTCGTGACGCGCGTAAAACAACCGACCTGATGCAGATCGCGGATGATTTCTGTCGCCCGTGCAACCATCGCGTATTGGTGACCGTCTATATGTATGCCTGACTACCTATCTATCTGAAATAACGATCGTAGTCTGTGTTGCGGGCCACCTATACGTCATCTCAATACAATTTCAAAGTGGCGATTCGCGCGTAATTCGTGGGTTAGCGGAAAGCCTTGCACACTTACCTGCAGTGCTCGATGAATGACCATGGAAGTAGACGTCGTTAAATCAACGGAAAAACTGCCAAAAACTGTACACATACCAGTACGAAGAAATTTCCCGTTACCAGCCCGGGGTTTTAAATAACATCGTCAGACAAACGGAGTCGAGACTTCGGAAGTGATGACTGCTGCTGCAGTGCTGCTTCGGCTGCGAGGCGGCGGCGGCGGTGGCGGCGGCGTCGACCAGCCCGTTACCGCGACGAGTGGGGACGATGACGATGTGGCTGGTAGGCGAGGTAGTGCAGGGTGTGCGTGTCGGTCGTTGGCGGCGCTCCCCCACCTAACGATTTTACGGTCTCTACAGCCGCCGTCGTGCCGCGCTTTGCTACCGCCTGCCGCCGTCACCGTTGCTGACGTCATGACCCAGCAAGGCACTCAAGGCGGCAACTCGGCAGTCGGCACACGGTTTAACAATAACGTGCGGGAATGGCGAAATGGTAATGATTCGTTCTTTGACGGGCGGTGACGATAAATTAAGACTACAATAATTGTTTGAAACCATCAGAATTTCATATGTTTGAAAAAAAAACACGAACTGTTGGTCTATTGCACTGCTGTAGCTTTGCAAATCGAACGAAATCGTTCTTCGTAGGTGGGGCAAATTTAACCGTTTCGAATTGATGTTGTAGCTATAATATTAATATTTAATACACCAGAGTACTATATAGACACTAATATACTATAATAAATATTAGTGCACTATTAGTACAGATGTATAGACGTGCACAGTGGCGTGGCGAACATCTTTCAARCCCTAAGCAAATTATTTATACTATGCCCCCCCTCCATAAAGGTATAGTTTTCTGTATACAAATTTTGAATGTTTGTTCTAGGGCTAAGCAATTGCATTAGGTAAACGTCGTTCACCACGCCACTGGACGTGCAGCATACAGTACTAAAGTCTACAGTAATGACTAATGAGTTGACTTTTATAAATTACAATACATTAATACATTATTCATTCTCCAGACCTCCAGTGTCGCCAATAGAGGATGTACCCGTTTATGACGGAAACGGATTGACGTCGTCTACTCGTCCTTGGTAGGCAACTATTAAAGTCAAGGGTTGCTGACCCCTAACGAAATAGTCTGAGAACCTTGGACTGTCCGTCGAAAATAACTCTCCATTCAACCACCCACCTACTAATCGACCCACTTTAACGCCGACCAACGGGGTCGTCGACGCAGTGGCCTTCGATCTTGCTTATTAGTCAACCGACGTGACCTATTCACAGCGGGTCCTTGRTCGTGACTTGTAAACTGGTGTGTACTAATACGTTACTGATATACTATGTTATTGTTTGTATACATACGAGAATAAATAGTAATAAAGTAATAAGTAATAATAATAGTGTTATATAATAATGTATACTACAATTTATAATGAAATAGTCGATAATGGGACCAGTGGAGTATTTATGAGGGTGATATGGAGAATCTAGGACGTCCCCCCCCCCGAAAAAAAAAATAAGTAGACAATAATAATATACAATGCAAATAAATAAAATGTAAAACTAAAAATGATTGAATTAATATATAAATATATAAATATAATTGTATAAATGTAAATAGGTAAATTTACTGCAGCTTACGAAAATTAAATAATATAAATAAAAAATATCACGGAATATAATAAAAGTGTTTATCAAAAATACAAAATTTTCAAAAATCATTTTTTTACCACTTCTTTTAGTATTAATTATTTCCATTATACATTTATTAAATTCACAAGTCACAAGAACAAACTGTTTACGCACAATGTTACGAACTTTACAAGAGACATAAAATCAAGAAATGTAATATAGCTAATTTGAGGTAGGTTTATCAATCATTGCCAATTAAATTGGGTAATAAATAACCAAAGTGAATGATGATAATAAGGGATTGGATTTTAAAAAATTTATATTTTATTTKTTATTTTTATTGTATTAAAGTTACCATATAGTTACGTACTAATTGGTTACTAATTTAGTAATACTTATCGATGCCTATATGGCTATGAGAAAATTGTTATCGGCGATAACTTGTATTTACCTATGTAATACATACTATTATTATTAATTCAGTGGCGCCGAACCTAAAACCCAAGAGGGGCGACCACCCCCCCCCCATTTTTCGGTGGGTGAGGTCTTAGGGGTCCGTGAGTACCCCAACAAACTATTTATGAATTATGTTCCTAACTCCTAACTTCTAAGCCATTAATATATATGGACATATGGTATTTGTACACAATATATGCAGCACTGTATCAGGCCGTAAGGAATAGCGAATAGGATCATAAGGATAAACAATTAGCCTGAGTTAGTGAGTAAAGTTGGCTGACAATGTATTAATATGAAATAACTTATTAATAACATACCCACTACCTGCATTGGTATTTGGTACTAATAAACTTCTGGTAAAACCAAAGTACCGATTTTCAAAATTATTATTATGTAAAAAAATATATACATCAATTCGGGGGGAACGTATCAGTCCGGGGGGGGGGAATGGCCAGTACTGCTAAAATTCTTGGGGGAGGGGGCGTTCATATACCTGATATGGAAGGGATTCTCCTCACTTTTTTTTATAATGTTTTATTCATATTTTGATGGACGATGTAAAATAAAGATTATGATTTGTTGCTGCTACTCATCAAATAACCTATTTTCTTTAATTCTGATTCTGATCAAATAACCATAAAATATTCTAAATGAGTGTTACCCATTATTGTAGCGCATATATTATGATAAAGTCGAAGTTTGCCATATAAATTATAATCAAAGGGGRATTTGATACCCAACAAGTTCGAGAACCTATAATGATCACTCGAATACTCGATATCTATAGATAATATAAGTCTATAACTATGAACTATACACAAATAATATAATAAAGTAGTAATGTTTAAATGTATT